TTCGAGTGCTTTGATCGATGCATCCAACGTGGCAGCTGCTTTGACAAAATTCTTGAATGTAACTAGTTGGTCCAAGGAGCGGCATGCTAGCAAGCATAGCATGATTTTGTTGTTGTTGATGATAAATTACAATTCAGACGCAGATGCTCACTCACGCGCACACACTCACCCTGTAAACACGCCCGCACACACACCGTATCCCTATGCGCGCCACGGAGAGACTGAGTTGATTGATCTTGAGATTGATGAAGTCTTCACAGGCACCTCATAGTCGACGAACACGTCATATCACTGAAAATATAGCGCCGGCAAGCCTGAAATAAACACATGAAACATGCGAGTCCCCATGCCAAGTCTACGATTTGAACCTGGGTGGGTTGGTTCCACCAGAAGGAACCTAATCTTCTAATTTAAGCTTAGATCGCAGTTAGCATGGTATTTTGAGTATCCACTAGTGAGAGGTTGGGCAAAGTTCGTTTTTCCTAGCTTAATTTGATGTTGGGTAGTCAATATGACTAAGATCAAGGACATGTTCCTTTTTCCCTTTATCTAGTTGTTCAATATATATGCCAACGACATGCGCATGAAGTCATGATCTATCAAGAGTTCCATCGACCATTTTTTTAAACAGATGCAAAAGATTTGCCTCATCCGTTGATTAAGAAAAACATGATTGCATGGTTAATTAATAGAAAACTAGGCAAAAATCATCACAATTCGATGAGTGGCACACACGACATACTCCACACGCACCGTTGTGAAGGAAGCCGCCGACCATTCTTGTGTCTCAAAGGTCTCCTTGAATCTTTTGGGCGGTTAATAGGTGTTCGAGTTAACTTTGAAAAATTATTTCTCCTCTCAATCATTGTCTAGAAGATTAAACTCAACATATGGTCAATATCTTAGATTGTAGGATTGGTTGATTCCCCTTCACTAACCTTGGGTTTTCCCCTTGGTCCAACCAGGCCGAGCATAAGAGACTTTGCTCCCCTTGTTGATAGAATTGAGACATGCCTTACTTCCTGATATCTTCTCTTTCTCTTGGAGATTGTATCACCGGTCGTTAAAGCTGTCTTCTCCCTTTGCTCCTAAAGGTGGTGAAAGACAAAATAGATTAAAAAAACCAGACGTGTATGCTTATGGGGAAAATCTGATCTCTCTGGTTGAGCTAAACGGCCCAAGACAAATTGTGCAAGTTGGAGAAATGTGGATGTCTTTGAATCACTAAGATCCCTGGATGATTGGACTAGACATGACACCTAAAAACCTTGAGATCCCTCGATGATTAGCCACTTTGCGGGCACTGAGCAGGCACGCCTCAAATTAGCCACTTTGCATCCGCCTCTCTCATATTTTATCCCTTAGATTTATATAAAGCATGCAAAAAGAATCCTACGTACTACCCTAGCTACTCTTTGTCGTTGGAGATGTCCACGACCACGGTGCTGGGCGCCGGCTGGACGGGCAGGTAGGAAGGGTCCGCCTCATCCTCCTCCTGCTCGACCTCATCCATGTAGGCGAACGTCTCCGCCTCCTCCGCGGCCTCTTGCGCCTCCATCTACTGCCGGCGACGGCGTCTTGCCTCCGCAGCCGACTCCGACTAGAGAGAATCGAGGATGGTCTGCTCCTTTGCCTGCAGATTCCCGTCGCCAGCCCCCCCTCCCCATCCTCCTCCTCCTCCTCCTCCTCCTCCTCCTCCAACTTCTCCTCCGAATCCACTATATTCCGGAGGTAGCCCCGCGGCAATCCGGTCTTCGTGCCTAGCCCGGACTTGTTTAAGGAGCTCGAGCCGGCGCTCCGGCGTCAGAACGAGCTTGCTCCTCACCCGACGGCATGGGGGCATGGCTACTAGGCGGACGGTGGAATGGAAAGTGGAGGTGAGGCGACAGACAAGAGGAGGAGGAAGATGTGGATGGATGGTAGGGTTTTCGGTGCTGCCGGTCAACTTAAATAGCCGGGCAATGCACTACGCGGCCCGCGGAGCTGTGCCACACGATGCCACCGGTCCGACGGAGGAGACGAGTTTCGGACCACCGGTTTTGAGGATGTTTTCAGCTGGGACCCTTTCGTCAGTCTGATGTGACGGGCGTCCCTGGGTGCCTCCATATCCGTCCATATTTGGGCTGGATATGAGGGTTGCCGGTCAAACCGGACGTTTGAGGGCCGTTTAAGAGGCTCGCCCGGATCGAAAAATCGTGATCGGACAGCCCACCTGGATGTATGAGGTGGATTTGAGAGATCCGGTTGCAGATGCTTTAAGAGAAGAAAAAGCAGAGCATAGGTTCTCTGGATTGAACACCGAGGATCGGCCCCCCGTGCTGTGCGGTTGCGGTACGTGTGAACTCCACCGTGCATGTGCACCGATCACTGTCGCATGCAGCTGGGCGGAGGACGAGCAGAGAGGGTGCAACGTAGCCATCCTGCCCTCTGGCGCCACACAACACGGAACAGAATCACGTGGTTGCTTGCTCCCACCACGCGCGGCATTGCCAAGCGCAAAATGTGGCTGTTCACCGGCGTCCAGTATGTGGCCGAACGTTCCGGCGATCAAAATAAGCGGCCAGGGATCCATCGGTTGGGTCCTCGCTTGGGTCACGGCGGCCTCAGCCCCACGCCACAGGAGTGATTCCGCGAGGGAGCACGCGAGAGGGGTCGCCAACGCTCGCCACGAGTCCTTCCCTGCTTGTACTTGCCCACACAAGTCATGTTGTAGAGTAGTAGATGTAGGCGTCGCATTTCCACCTGGCCGCCTCGTGTCCACTTAGTACCTCTGAACATTCTTGGTGAACACCGCATGTAGATGTGGCTAAGAGGGTGTTTGTTTTCATGGACTTATTGATCTACGGACTTAAATAAGTTTTTATAAGTCCCATCTAAACCAAACAAGAGGGACTTATGAAGACTTAAAATGAGATTTGGGACTTATGAAATAAGACTCTCAAGAAGGGATTTATAGGGACTTATAGTTGTAATATGGTCTTATAGAGACTTATAAATCCAGGAACCAAATATGTAGGGACTTTTTAGAACTTGAGATTTATAAGTTGGGACTAAAAAAAGTTCTAGGACTTATGAACCAAACAGGACCTAAGCTAGTACTACCGTAGATAGATAGCTACTCCGATGCTTATGAAGTTGGATGCTTACCGGCCATTTTTTGCACGGAGATGATCGAATTCAATCATTCATACTACGTACATCGAGTGCGTAAGTAAAAAAGAGCAACGTCAGTACCACTTACAAACTTGGTCTGGGAGTGGGAGTGATGATGATGATGTATGTGCCAGACGCGCGCATGCGGGGCAATAAGGGCATTGTATAATGGTTGATAAGATAGTTTTATCTTAAGTTTTGCATGTAATTAGAGATGACAAAAAAACATGTCTACAATGGATCATCTCTTAGCCTTATCTTCAATAATTAGTTGTTCCTAAAAACATGATGAGACAAATTGTGCTAAGAGATCATCTCTTGTCTTCTCTTAAATAAAATAAGACAAGTCTTCTCTTATGATTTCTCTCTCCTCCACCTCATCATTTATTCTACGTGGCAGTCTTAAAATAGAATCATTGTACATGCCCTAAGGCTACTTACGATACGAGAGAGTCCTTCATTCCGCACGTCCCCGTCCACGACGAATACGTCGTAGCGCACGTAATTTTCGGTCCGCTCCACTCCCCTATCCATCATTTACACTCGATCCTGTCTCAGTAGCTGGAGAACGCAATACCGACAGCAGCGGCGGCAAGAGTGACATTTACTCACCATAGCAGAAAGGCCATGCTTTATTTCATCCTTGTCCGCCACACAGGACTGCCGAGGAAAAACTCGTTCAGACCATGATGTAAATCAACGAATTATTAAGCATGCGCCCTCTTTTGGTTTAGAAGAAAAGGCTGCCAGGCCATTAGTGTTCGGACTTTTGAAGCAACTGGTTGGAGCATGAATTTAATATAACATATGAGTCGAAAGGTTTTGAGTTGGTTGGAGTATAAATTCAGTAATGATGACTTGTATAAACAGCCTTACATAAACTATTTGTAAAAGATGCCACATATGATTTTAACTGGTGTAGGAAGATGCCACATATGGTATCTAGAGGAAAGACAAACAAGAAAGAGTATTGTATGTAACTCTACCGACATAGTTCATAGAATTTCTATGACATCTTACAGTCACCGCAACCGGTGTGGATAGTGTCTATAATTTATACCCAACAATGGTTTAATTCATTTTTTTATAAATGCTTATCAATGGTGATTTACTAAAAAGAGAATAATTGTAGATAGACTAGTGTGTGAATTGTTGTTTGTCTTATCTAAGCAACCTGGGTTGTTATTACAGAACTATTGCACATGCCTATAACATAGCGTGGCAAAAAATTGAATCAGTTTTTCTTCTATTTTGCATAGAGAAATGGAAATCACACCACAAAAACAAAAACAGTTTTGCTAAAGCACATCTAGATGTGCCATCAGTATTGCACATCTAAATCATATGTCATTGATCTTACATTGAGATTCGTGTGAATATTTTTTTTCTCTTTTTTCCTTTTCTCTTTATGCTTGATTCACTCACTTAGATGTGCAATAACTAGAGCACATCTAGATGCGCCCTAGACACACCCAAACAAAAATGCTACGTCTTCGAAAACTCTACGAAAATTTAATGTAACCTTCCTAAACTAACAAAACGAATTTCAGGGGTTGGAATCAAATGAGACCACCTCATCACATACGATAAGTGTAGTAAAGCTCCTCCAAAAATGTTTTCTTGGCAAAATTAGCGATAAAAAGTAGGCATCCATGAGTTACTACCTAGGAGGACCAAACAAATCCAAAAGTAAACTTTGTTTCTTCCAGTACAGCTAGTTCTCTGGCCTGTCTATAAATAAGCCAGAACCCAACCCAACATGAGGCACCGCAGCACCAGAACCACAAGCCAAAACGCAGAGCACCGCACAAGCCACAGACGAAGACAAGTCTCAAGAGAAAGATAGAATGGCGGCCATCTCCTCCACCTCCTACTTCTCCTCGCAGCCGCATCTGCCGGCGTCCAGCGCCGCCGCTACAACCAGCATCAGCAAAGGCCGGCAGCCGCGGAGGCATCGGACGGGCAGCTGCGTCATGCTCGAGGAGGCCTCCGGTGGTGGCGCGGTGGGGAGGAGGACGAGGAGCCTCACGGAGGAGGACCTGGAGGAGCTCAAGGGCTGCCTCGACCTCGGCTTCGGCTTCTCTTACCACGAGATCCCGGACCTCTGCGGGACGCTCCCTGGGCTGGAGCTCTGCTACTCCATGACGCGGAGGTTCCTCGACGAGCAGAGGACTCTGGTCGGGCAGCTGGAGCCGGCCGCGGTGGCGGCGCCGCCCATCCCGGACTGGAAGATCTCCGGCCCTGGTAAGACTTGTTTTCTGCACCCAAGTAAAGCATGTTATGGAGATCTGTTTAATTTCTTCTTCGCGTGATCTGCTGCTCATGGCTCATCAATTACCGTTCGCTTTGATAGGTGATGATCCAGACCAGGTGAAAGCTCGGCTCAAGTACTGGGCACAGACAGTGGCATGCACAGTCAAACTCTGCAGCTAGACAGCTAGTGGAGGTCCCGGCAAGGGAGTCTGCCGATTCATCCCATGACATGCATGTCGCTATGATGGGCTGAAGTTAAGGTGCCTGAAGCTGAAAAAAATCTGCTTACATGGCTGAGACATGTTGTGCGAACACTGAGGAGACGCTTCTGATGCGTGCCGTCGGGATCACATAACGGATTGGTGCTCTTCAATAGCTTCAGAGAGGGAGACGACTTATGATACAACGGAGGAGTAAGAAATCTCGACGCGATATGTCGTCGGAGCTTTTCTGAAAGCATCAGAAGCTTGCCGTTCTCATTCATCATGGGTGTTCTAAGTTGTACGCAATTCTAGAGATCTGCTAGTGATTCTACTCTTCCCTGTAAAATGATGACTAGGCTCTCCACTTGGGTAGTGCTACGTCGGGTTGAGCTTTAAAACCCGTCGTTAGATTTGCTCTTTGCTCTCATGCTCCTTCGAACTTTGATTTGCTTTCAACCAGTAGACATTGTATAAGACTTTGATGAACATATTTGTTGACCGTGTTGTACTGCACTGCGAAGGTGTGGAAACAGTTTATTCTAAAACAAATTTCTTTGTCCAGCTTATCAACAAGGTGTGGCTGTTGTTATTGTGGATAACATAAGATCCCACTAAACTGAATATACAAAGTGTCAAGACTGCATAGAAAAACATTGGTCACGTAACTAACTGAGCACTACCGACTGAATCATGATAATCAGGCTAAGAATGCAGGGGATCCCATGAACACATATATTTCATGATTTTATTGGATTTACATCGGTGCCAAATGGCGAATAAGACGTGATTCCGAATAGATGACAAGTATTGTTTGTATATATAAGAAAACTTAGAACCTAATCATAACATGAAAAGACAGAGTCACTAGTTTTCATCATAATTTCAGTTTAGCAAGTTCTCCTTGTGTAAACAAATATAAGACGTTTTAGATCACTATGTAAACAAATATAAGATGTTTTAGATCATTTTTCTAAAACATCTTATATTTATTTATAAAGAGAGTAGTAAATAAAACAAAAGTTGTAACCTAATAAACATATTTATTTGGAGTTAGAGATAGTGTTGGTACTTGCTATCTGAATGTATGGTAAGCCATTTGTCTTCTCCAACTCTTATAGCTACAAGACCAACGGAGACAAAACATATTAGCTGCTGAAAGAAATCATCATATACAAAAAACAAAATCGATACAACAAATCACCGTCGCCATCGGTGCGGAGAACTCTTTAACAAATACCACTAGGTGCCCGTTCATCTTGAGAAACTTGACAACCTCCATTATTTGGTACAGTCACTCACCGGGAAGGCATAGATGAAAGACAGAAAGTAAAGACAACAGAAATCAAACATAGGAATAGTAACATGAGCATTGAAAGCGCTACCTGAAGGCGGACCTCTCTGAATAAAAAGTATACCCTTAGAGGGTTTTGTTCCAACCTTTTCTTTCTCCGTGAGCTATTCTTCCGAGCAGACGGCCACTATCTTATCAGCTTCTAAGGTGAAAAATAGTCGAGTTTTCTCGCAATGTCGCTCATAGCTCTGTCACCAAAAAGGGTGCTCCATTCGGCGGAGTTTCTAATATATAACTCGGCATTTTGTTGAGTGTTCCGTCACAGGTTAGGTTGGTCTATGAATCAGGAGGTTTGGATGCCACTCAGAGTATTTTGTATAACCCTTAATAAACTTAATGGACTGGTAGATTGTTTTTTAGTTAGGATTTTCTTTCACGCATATTGGGCTGAACCAAATAGAGTCTCCTTATATGTCAACTTTATTATATGATGCAATGGGTGGTATATAGGTCTATCCATTAAAGGGGTGTTCACGGGGCGGTCCAAACATATTTTGGAGCCCAACGTGAGTCCAAATAAATATAATAATTTATGCTAAACATTAATATATGTTTTTGTCATTTTTGTCATTAATGTATGCTAATTATGATAAATTAAAATTGTGTTTTGTGACAAAATATACATTTTTAGTTATATATGTTCTCATTTTTTTATGATATTTGCATGAGTATACTGTATATGTCTATGTGTATCCTTAAATACCTTAGTAGAGATCTGTAAAGTTATTTTTATAAGAAATATCTTGATAAAGGATTTTTTTATTAGATCCATGCAAATATAAAATCTAGAGTATATTAGATGTTTTTGAGGAGCTTGTCACTGAATCACCACATAGTGCTTTAGTCCCTTTTTTGTTCAAATGTATCTTACATATTATAGTGGGTTCAACCATTTGTTAATGTTGTGTGTCTTGTTGTACTTGATAGTAAGATAGCATGCTCTGGTTAAGATATCGTTCACTATAACTTCTAGGGCATTCAGGGAGGAGGCTAGCGTCCTAAAATTAGCCACCATCAATCAAATCAATTTTTGTTCTACATGGTGCACACTATTGTGCAATTTTTACATGTCTTTGCTATTGCAAATTTGGTCTTTTATAGATATTTAATGTTATATATAGTAGGCTCTTAATCGTAACAAAGATTTAATTACAATGTGATATTTTCCTGCACAACTCATGTGTCTCAAAGGCCACCTTGAATCTCTTCAGTTGCCAACATGTCTTTGAGTTAACTTAGAAGAGTTGTGACTCGTCGCACTCAACACCCAAAAGATAAAACTCAACATCTTTGATTTCTTCGATCGTAGGATTTGATGGTTTCCCTTCACTAACCTTGTTTCCCCCCTTGGTCCAACCAAGCCAAGAATAAGAGACTTAACTCCCCTTGTAGATAAAATTGAGACGCGCATTGTTTCTTGCTCTTCTTCTCTTTCATGTGGAGGTTGTATCATTGTCATCAAAGCTATCTTTACTTCCTTTCCTACTTTCTTCCTTTGAACAGTGAAGCTCCTTGGTGGTATTCAAAGCCATCATAGACAAAAGCAAGGCACATATGTCTATGGGGTAAATATGAGCTCTCTAGTAGACCTAAGCTGCCTAGGACAAAACATGGAAGTTGGATAACTCTGGATAGCTTGGAATCAATAACATTCATATCCATAGTGAAGCCATCCATATGAAATACATTCACGAATTATAAAAACTTGTCCCAAATTACTTCAACGAGTCAGTGGTACCTCATGTACACATGTGGGATGTGGGATCCATTTGGTGGTTTGATGTAATAAAACTGAACCCCGACTTCTAAAACTTTACTTCTTGCTCGATTAGACAAAAAATAATGCTCTCCTAGGTTTGATCGTTGGATGGATAGATATGCAAACAATTTCCCAGGTTACACTTGTTTGTTATTGGTGATCAAATCATTATCATGATTGTGTTGGAATTTTCAAAGCCTCTTAATATGTTCCATTTAGCCCTCTCATTGCAAGTTCTGATGAACCGACGTCTTTCAGATTAGCATCCCAAATAGGATCAACTATCTTGACTCTAGCAGATTTTGG